TCTTGTAGTGATGGTGGAAGAGTCGGAGCACTGTGTAAAGTCTTCTCCAGCACCTCTCAAAAATTCTCAATGGGGTTAAAGTCTGGACTCTGTGGTGGCCAAACCCTGTGTGATAATTATGTCTCCCTGAACCACTCTTTCACGATTTGAGCCAGATGAATCATTGCATTGTCATCTTGGAATATGCCCATGCCATCAGGGAAGAAAAATCCATTAATGGGAAAATCTGGTAATTCAGTATATTCAGGAAGGCAGCGGACCTCATTTTTGGGCACATGACGTTGCTAAACCTAGACATATTATCCAGTGGAAGGCTCTGACCTATTTGTTTAGCTAAATCCAGGTGGTGACTTTTTTTTGGACAGGAAGTGTATAATTGCATTATCAATGCTGCAGTCATACATGGGCAGATAAAATATGAGATGTTATATACATGCATAGTTAATGAGTCTCATACAAGTAAATGTACAAATTGAATTGTCTTAATAAAGCTGTAGTCGTACATGGGCAGATAAAATTACACTTGTGTTTGCGGTGCCCAGGCAGCTGCTGTGGTTTGCTGTCCATAGCAATGTCCAAAGAATGTACTGTACCTCCTCATGTCCGATGTATGCTTCTAGAACCTCGGTGCTCAGCAGGGACTCTTGTCATTGTCAATCAAGTTCCAATAAGCGACACATGAACAGGGATCCTCATAAAAGCCTTTCTTTATTGTATCGTGGCATAAAAGCAGTAGCAACAAACATGCTTGCTAGAATGTTTACTGCTACTGTTTTTATGGCATGATACAATAAAGAGAAGCTTTTATGAGGATCCCTGTTCATGTGTCGCTTATTGGAACTTCATAGCAATATATGGACAGAAAATGCTGTCACCAGCATTGGCACTTTGCATAGGTTACCTTACCCCCGTGTGCGTGCAAATATGCCTGTATTTGCTCTGCAGTATTCCTACCTGCATGAGCCCTTAGTAATAGGAAGAACTATTAGCCGTCAGTTTATCAACTGTTTTGAAATTCTTTTTTACTGTGGGTGAGGAGACAGGCTGCTCCAGAGGGGCCAGCGCCGCTTCAGTAGCGCCCTCAGCGTCCCCCTCCATGCTCAGAGACCGGCGTGTGCACTCACAGGAAGCAGGGGACCTGGGCAAGATGGCGGCCGCGGGACACGAGGCCGCCCGCTGTGATCGTCTCCAGCCTCCTTTGGGACCGTTGCCTCTCTTACCGGACCTAGATGGCATCTCCCCCTGCTCCGGACATCCACCGGAGCTTAGGTGAGTACAACAGGAGCCGAATCTACAGGATGGATGCCGGATAAAGGTCAGTGCAGCGGCGGAGCTCCCTCAGTCACGTCCGCGCTGCTTCACATCCCGGCCACGCCCCAACTGTTTTGAAATTCTTAACAAACCAGGAACCTCTCTTGGTCTTGCTCAGAGCAAAGCATGTTTAGCAGATATCTTTATCTTCTTATAATTTTGTGTAAAGACTGAGATGTTTTATCTGGAATTCTTTGGACTTCTAGATATGGAATGTTAATGTAATTTATAGCTCTGTCAAAAAAAAACCACTTAATTGCATGTAAAACACTCTGCCTTTCCTAAACTATATTTCCATTCCTAATCATTTTGAAGAGACCCTGTCAAGTCGCCAAAGGTCTTTCGGCATTCAACACTTCCAGCAGTGTCTGATTGTTCATTCCTGTATCACTAGAGAACTCCGCAGTAGCGTAGGGGTTAGAGAATACAAATTCATTACAAGTGGGCTGTCAGGGGGTTAGGCTTCCTCCCAGAAGTGTTGAATGCTGAAGAGGCTGGCAGAGGCTGCATCAGAGGAACAGAGGAAAGTTAGGAGACCTGGGCTTTTGGCAGAGAGGTGAGTATAATTTTTTATTACAGGAAATTGACAGGGTGTTTTTAAAAGATGACGTGTACTCCAAAAGTAAAGATTTGCGGTTTATAGAGAACATCCTTAAATATTAAATGTGTCTAGGCAGTGCCCTTAACCTGTACATCTGTCCTAAATTCCTCCAGGAAAAATAGCAGTGCACTACCTGACATTTTGTAACTATCCCTAGGCACTCCTTTGCCTTCAGTCTCATAGCTTTGTATCTGTAGGGTCATATCATCTAAGAAAGTCTCACAAGATTTGGATGTCACTTCTGTTTACTCACTGTTCTTTTGCTGAAGAGAAAGCTGTTCCTAAAGGTCTACAGAGAAGCATCTTCCTCCTTCTGCTTTATTTATTGTGTTGATCTGTGCTTTCTGACCCTCTTTTGGTGCTGCTTGAATATTCCTCCATCAATCATCAGATCACCATTTTTTTTTGGGGGGGGGGCAGCATTGTTTGGAGGAAATAAAGCCCTGCCACTACCAAGATAGCCAACTCCACACTGGCAACAAGGCAAAATATCAGCTGCAGCACGCCTACAGGTGACTAGCCCTTTCTGGTCTGCTTGCTTTTTTGGGCTTTTATAGTTTAGGTCCTCTTTAAAGACTTTCACACTAAACTTATTTTGAGATTCTGTATTTTGGAAAAGGGGGTGTGATATAAGCAGGTTGTTGACAGATCTGTACTTACCTCTTCATCTACTCTTTAGTTTAGAGAGACCCATACCTCCCAATTTTCTGAGATAGGAAAGAGGGACATCGTCCAGCACAATACACACACCCCTGCCAAGCCCCCAGTTATGCAGACCATTAAGAATTTATATTTCACCATTACTTTTCCTTTATACTAACGTTTAGAAAAGGGAAGCAAGATAATTAAGAGCTAAGATAAAGGTTTTAGTGCAGAACAGCACTTTTGGAGGTTAAAGAGGACCATTTCATATATATCTGTACATCAGACCAAAAAGCGGGACAACTGAGGAGGAAAGAGGGGCACCAAGACTTGGTTCCAAATAAGGGACAGTTGGGAGGTATGCCTGTCACCAGATTATTACTTTCAACAAAAACCTTCCCATAACATTTAACATTTCTTATGCATGTTATTTACCTGTAGAAACCCCTGAGACTGCTGCTGGGCACTGCCATCTTGTATGTGATGTGAGCAGCCACAGCAGACCCTGAGCTGTAATTCAAATGACACTCTATAGCGGGAGTATTAAAACGATGGCCCTCCAACCGCGGTGAAACTACAACTCCCATGAGGCATTGCAAGACTCTGACAGCCAAGGGCATGACTCTCAGAAGCAGATGCATGATGGGATTTGTAGCTTCACTACAGCTGGAGGGCCGAAGTTTGGCTATCCATGCTTTAGGCCTTGTTCACACCAAATGCAGACCAGATCCGGTCAGGTTTCTGCACACGCAGTGCATTGGGTTGTGCCTCGTTTTTGATGCGTTTAGGGCCGGTTTTGGTTAAAAAAAAAACAATTTTTTTTTTAAAATTTAACATGGGCTTTCAGGCACTTGCATGCGTTTTTGCGTTTTTGATGCGTTCCAGACCAGATCAAGAGCAGATAAAATAGCAGGCACTGCAGTTTTTTCATCCGGTCTGGATCTGGTCTGGATCCGCACGCTGCGATGTGAACTGGAGGTCAAAATACCATAGGAATACATTGGACGCAGTTTTGATCCGGTCTGCACCTGCTCTGGTCCGGATCTGCTCCGCGCTTGGTGTGAACAAGGCCTTATAGTCTTTCTCTCCTTCCCTGGGAAATACAGGGAGAGCAGGCACAAAGAGTGATTTCACACTCCCAGGAGAGAAGAGGGCTGTGATATGCACACAATATTCTAGCGAGTTTAAAGGCACATTGCAAGTGAATAAAAAAAAACACTTGTGGAAAGGCAAAACACATTGATTAAGCATTTAAAATCCTTGATTTGTTTTGTGCTTCTACCTGCAATTGTTTAGGTAGGTAACAGGGTCTGTTCAAATCCAACAATATTGATATCAGCCTGTTCTTTCACCAATATTCTCTACTTATTTGTCTGTACTGTCACAACAGTAGTTGCTTCTACTGACTTCTGGGTGGGATCCTCCAACATCCAAGAAGGCAGAAGGAATAGCATTGAGAGGCTATAATGGGACAACTATGTATCCCTATGTCTGTAGCATACCTTTACCTTATTACTTGGTATCCAAAACCAAATAAAGTTTTCAGTGATGGCTTTTCTTTGGAGAAGTTCTACTTTAAAAAAGAAAGAAGAAAGTACTGTATGTATATAGGAATTATATATGGTACCTCTAAATTTAGCTATCTGGTATATTATATATGGTACCTCTAAATTTAGCTATCTAGGAAATTAATATTGTTTTTTTACAGTTATCAGAAATCTGGGCGCCATGCTATATTTTTATTTTAAAATTGTATTTCCATTACAGTAAAGGAAACTTGTAATTAGAAAAATATGGCCTGTCATTGCTAATATCCTTCTCAGCATGTTAGTTGCTGGCTCTCATGCTGACTCTCTGGCTTCTAATTTTATGAGTCACTGGGCTGACAGAAGTTGACAGATCAGGAGTTCTCAGTTCACTTGTTGCTTGCTTTCTCTGAGTATGGGACTCAAGTTATTGAAGCCAGAGACAGCAAGGCAACATTTTCATATTTCTGTCATGACAAATTTCCTTCAAAACATTTCCTATTGCAGATTACCAGTCTTTGGGAATGGGGACTTCATTAGTTTTCATTTTTTAGGCTACTAAGGCTTTCTCTCATTTCGGAGAGATTTGCGATCACTTCCTGTCATGTCTCCAGGACATAAAGTGAAGGAAAATCTCCCCAATGAGACACAGGGATTTTGCCTATTGCCCACTCTAGCCAAAATACACTCTTGAAGGAAACCTGCATGTCTCAGACTCCATTCCTTAGTGCCAGTTACAGTTTACCCTTGTTCTGCATTATTTATATTCACTTATTTACTTGGCTTACATTTCTCTGTGCTTATATAAGAAGCATTTGTAGTTCTTTGTGCAGGTTGGAGAGATAAGGCATACAATAAGTATGAGGATCTGTGCCGTACGGGCATATGGCCATTGTGTATAACCGTGTCTCTCTTTTTAGGGTATTACCGGAATTCGTTTTGCTGGAGGAGAAAAATGCTACATTAAAGCTCAAGCCAAGGCTCACGTTCCGGATGTTGACAGCGTGACAAAGGAAAGCCTCTCGTTTGAGTTGGTAAGAACCAAACAAAAGAATAGGAATATGTCACAGTTTAAGCCCATTGTGACCCAGAAGTTGTAGTATCAGTTTATATTTATGCTTATGTTTGGTCTAACTTTATGTGCACATTAGGAGACAAGCATTTGATGTGCATTGAAAACTGTCTTGGATAGGAGATCAGCTAACATTGGTAGATTAAAGTGTATGTTAACCCTAAAATAATATTTGTTAGTTTATTACTAAAGGAATGACTATCTTTATGCTTTTGCTTCCATTACATGCTCATTTAATAGCACATACCTGGTCATGTTCCTCTTTTCCTGTTGTAATCTGACCACACAAAGCATGGAAGCAGATCTGTGCTGGAATGGTCAGTCTGCATCCATGAGTTTGCTGATCATAGCTACAGGATGCTGAACCTGGCACATGGTGTTCCAGTAGACATGTGGTCTGCTTTGCTGTCACGCTCCCTGGCCACTCCTGCTGTACTTGATGCACAGTCATCGTCCCCCTCCCTGCAACCACTAAGGAGGAAGGTGGGCAACATGGATACATTGCCATGGGAAAAATAAATCAAGGTATATCATTTTTTTACTGCTATTGAAAGTAATTTTGAACAATATACTGTTTTTTGCTTTCACTGACTTCACAACTACTTTAATCATATTTCTGAAGGCAGCGTGGCACTAAATTTATATTAATATAGTTACATAATAAACTTAACTTGATGAGCTAGTTTGCTTTCCATCATGTCAATCCATCCTTTGATGCAGCTATATCTTAATTGTTAAAACTTAACCCATTGAAGTCTTCATTGCTCAACACATGTTTCTGGAAGTGAAAATAATGTCTTATTGGACGTGTCCCCGATCGTGGGTATAATATGCATCCATTATGGCAGAAGGGGGTGACAGCTCAGCCTGTCATCAGCGCTACCTGTCCCTGTTTGTATTATCTGTTTTTAGTCCTAAATCCACTGTGTTGCAAAGTCCAGAGTCTAGTGCTTTCCTCTGCTCCAAGTCTAGTGTGTTCCTAAGGGTCTGTGCACACCTAGACAACACATAACCGCACGATTCCGCCTGGTCAGTAGTCGCCTAGGTGTGCACCGATCGCGCTGTAGGTGTGCCATTATTTTTCTTATTGCACCCCAGTTGCGCCAGGCGGATTGCGCTAAAACAGCCGCGTTTTGTTTACCTTTTTTCTGCGATTGCTGTGCGGATGTGACCCCATTGAGATCAATGGGGCCGCACGGCAATCGCGGCCTGCATTGTGCAGGACCGTGCGATCGCAGGACTCGCGTTCCCGGATCGCGTAGGCCTGCACCAGGCCTGAGTCTAGTGCATTCTAAGTCCAGAGTCCAGCTCATTCTAAGTCCAGAGTCCACAGTCTGTAATGGAGGGCAGGCTCATAAATAACTTGTTAACCCCTGTGTGATAGGAATAAAGTTAAGTGAAATAAAAGAAATTTTATTTTCAAAATAAATTAGTTAGCGGATTATTAAGTTTGATTAATCGGATAAAAAAAAAAGCTCCAGTGATGGGACTACTAGTTTGTATTGAGATTGCGGTGGAAGTAGAAAACAAAGTGTGGTGTGCAATATAGTACATTATACAGCGGCACAGTGCAGAATACCAGCTTTAGAGGAATACAACAAATTGCAGAAATAGTACATTATACAGCGGCACAGTGCAGAATACCAGCTTTAGAGGAATACAACAAATTGCAGAAATAGTACATTATACAGCGGCACAGTGCAGAATACCAGCTTTAGAGGAATACAACAAATTGCAGAAATAGTACATTATACAGCGGCACAGTGCAGAATACCAGCTTTAGAGGAATACAACAAATTGCAGAAATAGTACATTATACTATAATGTACTATTGCTGGGATTTGTAGTCCTCTGTAGCTGCTGGTATTCTGCATTGCACTGAATATCATGTACTATTGCTGGGATCTGATGTATTCCTCTATAGCTGGTGTTATTCTCCATTGCTCTGTATAATGTATTATTGCTGGGATTTGTAGTCCTCTATAGCTGCTGGTATTCTGCTTTGCGCTGTATAATGATTATACGGCACAATACAGAATACCACTGACCAGTTATAGAGGAACACCAAATCACAGCATTAGTACATTATACAGGCTGTTTAATGTATTATTGCTGGGATTTGTTGTTCCTCTATAGCTGCTGGTGTTCTGCAGTGTGGCGCTATATAATACAGTGGCACAATGCAGAATACCACCGACCAGTTATATATATATTTTTTTTTTTTCAAACAGGAACATTAAAAAGATTTAGATTCTCCCCATGGTGGTGGTGTTGGGGGGTTCCCTCCTTTCAGTAATAACGTACAGTTTATGGCTCTCATAGCAGCACATGCCCAGGTCTGCCCTATCGGAACACTGGGGGTGATATACTTCAGGAGTCTGCAGCAGAACACAGCCGATGAGGACTGTCTGGGGAATCAAATATTCAAACTCATCTATCACCTCCTGTGTTCCTATAGGGCAGACCTGGGCATTTTATGGACTGCATGCCATATCTGGCCCTTTGCCTGTGCCTTTATTGTAAATGAATTTGTATATGGCTAAATATAATCATTCTTAAAAGTATAATTTTTATACAAAAACTTCTATCAAGCCTCCCTAATCCCAAAAGCATAGAAGCAGGTCACAGCCCAGGAGTATTGCTGACATGACAGCATTAAGAGTGGTTTATCTTCAAATTGATGGTAGGTGACAGTACACGGCTTACAAGCAATAAATCTACAGGACAGAGTAATGGAAGAGCCGCCAGTTATACACGCGGGATAGCCTGGATCCTGTAAATTCACACACAGTCGTCTTTTCCATATACACATTAGTGGACTCTTTATTTGTAATCATCTACTCTATGGTGTTTATTAGGTATACACCAAACTAGGTTTCCAAAGCTTCACAGATTATTATGAGGTTTCTTTTAGTATTATACCACTAAATAAACTGCTTTATGACCAATCATTATTACTACTAGCCCTGCAATCACTACATTACCATAACATTTACTCAATACAAGTGCTGATTGAATGCACTGTACTACAATCCAGTGTTAGCTCTGACTAACTACAAATTCATTTTCCCTTTTGCTTGTTTCAATGGCTCTTCTTCATTGACTTATACATCATGTTGTGTAATGTACCTGTCTGAAACTGGGACACACATAAGATATTTTAACTAGTGGGATAATTAGGGACACTGCATACAAACTGGTTTTATGATATAATGAACTACGGACAGGTGGCCAGCAATAAAAAGAACAATTTCTTCCCCCCTAATGGAGCCTTGGGCTGGATATTGGGTCCTCTTCCTGCTGTAGAGAAAACAAATGCAATAATGCATCGGCAGATACCACATCATATGCCATGATGACTGGATATCATATTAGTTTATGTGGAACCAGGGCCGTAGATCATTTTTTTTTGCTGGGGGGGGGGTTCAACTTCCTCAAATTATAAGATTTTATCGACGAAAACGACGAAAACATTGTCAACGTTTTCCATCGTCGATTAGTCGGCTATCAATTTAATTGCCTGTTCGCAGCTCCACGCACGAGCCGCACACCACACCCACGCCGCTTATAATTTATAACATTGCCTGTACTAGCTGCAGTTGAGAAGGTTGATAAGGAATGGTTACATGTCCAGAAGATGACCAGTAGTTCTTGTAGTTCCACAACAGCTGGAGTGCAGAGGTTGTCTAACCCTGGACCATGCCAATGTATTGCAACTCTTTTTTTCACTCCATGGGCACCATAACCATAGTGAACACCATTGGGATTAGAAGCGTTTATTAGCCTTATACCATAAGAATTCTATACAGCACCTTTATTTTTAAGGTCATCTTCTGGACATGTAACCACACCCACGCCGCTTATAATTTATAACATTGCCTGTACTAGCTGCAGTTGAGAAGGTTCATAAGGAATGGTTACATGTCCAGAAGATGACCTTAAAAATAAAGGTGCTTTATAGAATTCTTATGGTGTAAGGCTAATAAACGCTTCTAATCCCAATGGTGTTCACTATGGTTATGGTGCCCATGGAGTGAAAAAAAGAGTTGCAATACATTGGCATGGTCCAGGGTTAGACAACCTCTGCACTCCAGCTGTTGTGGAACTACAAGAACTACTGGTCATCTTCTGGACATGTAACCATTCCTTATCAACCTTCTCAACTGCAGCTAGTACAGGCAATGTTATAAATTACTTCAGTGTATTGCAGATGTATGGAAGCCAACCAAGTAAACCTATATTGTAAATGAATTTGTATATGGCTAAATATAATCATTCTTAAAAAAAGGCATTGCAAGACCCTGACAGCCACAGGCATGACTCACAGAAACCGAGGCATGAAGGGATTTGTAGTTGGAGTGCTGGAGTGTCATGGTTGCCCACCCCTGGTATATGAGAAGTTTATAAGATCTGTCACTGAGATCAGTGGATGGTGAGAGATTAGGCAATGCTCATCTATGTGATTGGACCAGCTGTGGGACATTTTGGTTGGTTCATCATTGTGATCATTAATGAAATCCCTGCAATACGTCACCAATATGCTTTGTAAAGGTCTGGATTTGTGAAAAAGCCACGGCCTTGGGAGGTAAAATCTTGGCGGGGGG